TGGAGGATATGAGAAAAGAGTAAACAACCTCTCTTATTATAAAATATTTTAAAAAGTAGAATAAGAACATCAATAAGGGCAATACAACAGTCCTCCCCACCTTTTCCGTGGTTTCACTTTCTGCTGTTTCAGTTACCCAGGTTTCTTTGAGGTTCGAAAATATTAAATGAAAAATTCCAGAAAAAAACAATTCATAAGTTTCAAATTGCATGCCATTCTGAGCAGTGTGATGAAATCTCAAGTGGTCTTGCACAGGATGTGAATCATCCCTTTGACCAAGTTATCCATGCTTTATATGCTTCTTGCCCGTTAGTCACTAGTAGTCATCTTAGTTATCAGATCATCTGCTGTGGTATCATGGTGCTCGTGTTCAAGTAACCCTTTTTTTACTTAATATAGGTCTCAAAGCACAAGTGAAGCTGGCAGTTTGGATATGCCAAAGAGAACCTATGAAGTGTGTCTTTTTAGTGAAAAGGTGAGTACAGTACAATAAGATATTTTGAGAGAGAAAGACAGAAAGAAAGAAATGGACCACATTCACATAACTTTTATTATAGGATATTGTTATAATCATTCTATATTGTTATTGGTTACTGTTGTTAATCTCTTACTGTGCCTAATTTATAAGTTCACCTTCATCATAGGTATGTGTGTATAGAAAAACATAGAATGTATAGAGTTTGTTATTATCTCTGGTTTAAGGCATCCACTGAGGGTCTTGCAACATATCTCCCGTGGACAAGGGAGGACTAGTGTACAGCCACAGAGTCTTGAATAAAACATTATTGTGGAAATAGTTGAGCTCCACAGATTGGTTTTCAACCACACTTTTATTATTATTTTCCTTTGGTGGTGACACAATATTACGGATTGTGAAGGCCCAAGACCTGGTTCTGCCACTTCCTAGTTATGATCTCAAGCTAGCATAATTCTTCCAAGATTCAGTTTCTTCATCTGTAAGGGAATAACAGACACTTGCCTCCTAGGATTACTGTGAACCTTACATTATATGACGTAATACTATCTACCCACAGAAGAAGTATGTTTATACGAAAGATAAGTATTAAATTATTGATACATCATATGAAAAGATTATCATATGTTATGATGATTGGTGTGTTGAAATAGAACCACATAAAGTTTCACATAGCTATGCATCCTTAAAAAATCAACCTCCTTTATAATTGCCCCTAGAAATTTTAGTCAATCTACTACCAAACAGTAAGCACATTTAAAAATCAAGAAGTTTTATGACTCAACAGGGTAGAATTTTGGGGAAAAAAAATCTACATCAATTTATGTGAATATTTTCTGAACTATAGAGTACTAAACACAATGTTGTTTTTATTGTAATGTCCTATTGGCTTCTAGAATAATGGAAATGTTATCGAATTAAAATTACTTAACTACATTAAACTACTAATTTTTATTTACAGGAATTCAATATGAAATTTACTTGTAAAGTAAGAAAGGTTAGCTTTCTAAGAAGTTACAACAGCATATATAATAGACATTAAGTCAACAAAGATAACCAATAAAATTTTTAGAAGTCGTCCCACAATTTCATCTTCTAGACTTGTGGGGGTAGTAGTGGAAATTAATATCCAGTTTTTACACGTCATATTCAGAACGCTCCTGCTCCCTAGGGGAAAAAAGAGAGACATATTCTCAAATGAACACATTTATAATTCTGATTCTTTAAATTCAATGTAATATTTTCACTATAAAGAAATAACGATGAAGAAACATCTATCAGGCAGTACTTTACATATTTGTACTCAACCAACAAACTAAAAAAAATTTTGCCTAGTAAATTAAATATTTTTCACTCACTCATTTTGACCAGATGTCATAATCAAATTTTTCTACATGCCAAACTTGCCTTTCTTTCTAAAAAAACAGCTCAGCTACGTTGTAAGGTATATAAATGTCTAATCACTATATTATATATATGAAACTAATATAATACTAAATGTCAACTGCAATTTAAAAATTAATAAAAAGAAAAGAAACAGCTCAAGGAACTATCAGAATAACTATTCTTTTTTCATGTTATCAGTATTTAGAAAGTCTTATCTTCCTAATCATTTACAATTTTATCTGCTAAGTCCTTTAAAATCTTATCTAAATAATTTACATTATTTTACAATGGCATCAATGAAATTACCATTCTTCCAACCTATACAGTAGGTATCACTAGGAAGTAAGAATTTGAAGATATGGGAAAAGGCAGGTGAAATTTTTTTTTAATTAAACAACAAAAGGTCATTTTCGTTTTCTTGATATTTTCTCAAGAGCCTCTCTTTCATATTCTGATGACTTAATAAGACATCAATCAGTTAATTTCCTCTACATTTCTGTTTTAATTCAACAGTTTAAAAAAAATGGCTGGAATTTTAAAAAGTGTTAAGGGAATTTTTAGAAGTATTAATTTGTAGTCGATTTAGCACACTGTTGGAAATTTTACCAAATGCCAGTCAGGAAGGGAGTTTAGAACCATTATTAACTCCTTTTTCAGAAATGCAAGGTCGAATAAGACAAATAATTTTCAAACACATCAAAATCTTTTATATACAATCAAAACGAGCATCAATACTTTTAAAAAGTGGCAACATTGAGGTAGGAAAATATTTTTTGCTATATTCACTCAAAAACCATAAAGGCAAGTTGGTTTTTAAGAGAGGAGAGAAAGGGAGAGATAGATGAGATTTATACAAGTGTCATTTTCTCCTGCTTAATTTCTGATTGATTTCTGTAATAACTAGCCCCATTCCTAAAAGAGGGAATAATGTGCCCCAAATTACACAGCAATCACCAGCAAACACCTAGAATTTCCCCTACATTCAACAATTCCCTTTGCCTATGTTACATAAACAAGGAGTAAAAATAATACATTAGTTTGCAAAGTAACTTTCTTTGTCTCATAAGCACAGCCTCCAGCTGTGCTTCTTTTGTTTGCGCTCTGAGAGGTACATTTCATTTTCTCCAACAACAGTAAGAGAGAGGCTGAAATAGGAAGTGAGGGAAAGACCAGACTACTGGTAGAGATTGAAGAGTGAATAGAAACCCATTTCTCACCTGACTTAATCCCAGGTCTTGGCATATAACACTGGCCCTTGGTTTTGTCTGCTCTTGCTAGAACAAAGTGGATTCAGCACCAGTGGTCTCTTAGCAACCTTGGTTCCTGGGTCAAAGCACATTAAAAGGTTTTATTGGACAGCGAGGTGGTATACGAAGTTGAGGGGCAGGGAGCCTGCATGAAGAAACTAAAATATTCTCAAAGAAGTCAGGCAGAGTGGAATTTGGAAAATATGACACTTTAATTACAATTTATCAAACAGAATTGTATAGCCAAAAACTGCACCTTTAACAGAAGTTTAAACCGAATTCTAGGATTTTGATGGCAGGGCAAACATTCATCACACTTTTAAAACAACAATTTCTGGGTAGGGGGATGGGAGAAATGTTATTTAAGGGTATATACCTGTCACTAGTAGATAAATAAGGACTGGAGACCTAATACATTGCAGTCATAGACAAGAAAACTATTATAAACATTAAACTTGCTAAGAAACTAGATTTTCACTGTTCTCAACACTAGAAAAAAATAAAAATTACATGATCCAATAGAGGCGTTAGATAATACTACTGTGGCCATCATATTGCAATATAAATGTATCAAATCAATATATTTTACTCCTTAAACCTACACAGTGTTAAATGTTAAAATAACCCAATAAAAATTCCCTGAAAATTATTTTAAATATATGTGCATCAATATTTACCATGATAATGAAAAAACAAAACTTCTCTGTCTATGTAAGAGAATATAATTCATGATGTTGCATGTCTGCTATAAATTCTTTATTTTAAGATTTTTATCACTTTTTTGAACAAATTAGAAAATAGAGGAGAGAATTAATTATAAAAGAGCAAAACACTATTTAGAAAATTGTTTAAATATTTAAATATGATTAAAATCCATATCTTATTATCACCCATTACACTCCTAGTTATATACTCTGAGGAAGTGCATAGATATCCACACCAGAATGCATATCCAAACATCATTCATATTTTCAACTTAGAAACAACCCAAATGCCTATTAGTGGATAGATAGGTAAATTCTCATAATGGAATACTATACAATAATGAAAATTAAGCTACAGCTACATACAAAGATTGGTGCATTTTACAAACGTAATTTAAAAACTTTTAACGCAAAGGGCAAAAGAAAACACAGTGTAAGTGTATTTATGTAAAGTAGAAAAACAGTTAAAAGTGTATGGTTTAAGAAACTCATAGATACAGAGAACAAACTGATGGTTGCCAGAGGAGAGACATAAGGGGATGAGCAGGAAAGGGGAAGGAGGTTAAGAAGCACAAACTTCTAGTTATAAAATAAGTCAGGGGGACATATGGTACAACATAGTGAATATAGTCATTAATATAATAACTGTACTGTGACAGATAGTTACTAGATTTATTGTGGTGATCACTTCATAAGGTATATAAACGTTCAATCACTATGTTGTACACCTGAAACTAATAGAATATTGTCGACTATAATTAAAAAATAAAGGAGTTTTTTAAGCACATGGTTTTAGGGGTGCATATATGGGTGGCAACTGTGTAGTGGTAAATTTATCAAGAAAAGCAAGGGATTATCTAACATAATCAGGATAACGGTGAGTTTCGTGAGAGGAAGAGAAGGGATAAGCGGGGATGATGGGGAGCTTTCAGCAAGGTTTCGTTTCTTGTTCTGGGTGTGGTTACATTGGCAATCACTTTTTAACTACTTGTAAACTGTAAATAGAAATTTTATGTGCTTTTCTGCATATTAGACTTCACAATTGAAATATTAAGAAAAGAAGACAGAGATACCTACAAATATCAGTAGTGCCCATAGCAGTTGAATTTGGGTGGAAGGACTATGTGTGATTATTTTTCTCCTTTGCTTTTTCCATTTCTCACATTTTCATTTAAAAGCATGTTACTTGTATAATTTTAGTAAACTGAAGAAAGTTGTCCCATAATTACTATCCTTATTCCTTTTCCATGTATTTAAAATATATACTGATTTTATCTTTGTCAAACCAATCCTTTAACAAAAGATTATAGCCTGGTCTTTTATAATAATTTCACTTTTGGAAAAGAACATGTTTTTGTCTCATTCAAAATGCTCATGAGAAACAGGAATGTGGGTGATTCCTGTTTGGTTGTCCTCCTTGATGTTAGGTCTGTTTGCATGTCATAAATCATTGTTCGTCACAAGTTTACAAACACGCTCAAATTTTACTGTGGATTAAAATCATGAGTATCACAGAACTTTGATTTATATTAGCCAAAAGCTCAGTAATCAAATGTTTTTTCTTTGAGATTGTAGGGACATACTTTTAGGGAAAAATTGTTTAACAGCAGCAATTTTCAGGAAAAAAAAAGATTCCTTACTGGATAAAACATGCACCAAAAATATAAATAAATTTCAAACGAGTTAGGAGACTTCAAATAATTTTCCTCCCATTTGAAAGCTTCAACCTACCTTTCTTTTCCTCATTTCCAAAAGGCACTGGGAATCAATTCATCATTTTATAGAATGTTGTACTGAAAATAGAATGAATACTCTCTTCTCTAGTCTTAAAAACTTACCTTTATTTTTTGTTTTGACTCCATCAAGAATCCAAACAAACTAAATGAAATTGACCTGTTCGCTATTTATTGAATGGTTGAACAGTGTGTGATATCCCACAAAGCAAGTTAGGCAAATGGAGAGTAGCAGTATCCTTTGGTCTCTGGGAGTTGAACTTCATTGTATTCTCTGTTCTTCACCCTGACATCAGCTTATAACTGTGTTTTTACATAAAATAGGGTTTCTCAAATCAACTAACTCCTGAGACTCTAAGAAGAGTACATTTGCTAAATGGCTTGGTCACTCAACAAAAACAAAGCAATACAGAATAAACAAGAAACCTCTATTATCTAAAACTATTCTTAGTACTAAGATATCACCCTTTTCTCAATTTCTCCAACTTCTATTTTTTCCCCTTATTAGGTATGGATTCTTGGTCAAGGCAAAGAACAGAACATACTTTGCGAAGTCTCTTTTACAATCAAAAGAAAATCACTTTTCGTTGGATTTGAGTTTATAGTCTTAAACACATGAGTCACATTTCAAAAATACTTTCTTGACAAGAATATGCTAATCTTACTTCTTGTTTCTGTCAATATCTAATAGTCAAGATAATATTGACAGAAGTTCCCTAGAGACACATGTTGAAAATGAGACAATTAAGATCTGTCCATTTTTGCTTAATTGGTTATTTAAGTAAAGTATCATAACGATCATTTATTGAGGGCCTCTGTATGTGCCAGGCCATGTTATGTGCTATCGGGGGACAGAGCCACTTCACCAGATACTCAGTATTCTATGTTGGAGCCTAGCTACTACTAACCTAGGACTCCAGTCCCCAGATGCTACCCTTTTTCAACTACATGGATTTTTTAATGTTTTCAAATAAAAAGTCACTTTTGAAAAGACCCGTATTACAATGGAAACTGTATCAAAATGGAAATATCCACATGTCATTAATGGTCACTCTTCCTCTGCAGTCCAGCTCCTTTGTG